TGCAGGGAGTGCAAAGAGACTTTCCTTGCTCAGTGGCTAACTACAGGCTCATTGGAGGGCGTGCACACTGATCCTTGCTACCAACTGTGGGAGGAGCTGGATGGAGGGCAGAGGGAAGGCCCTGGTCTTGTCCATCCTCTCTCCTGGCTGGGTGTGGAGGGCCATGATTGTGCCACACATTGCAGTGGTGCTGGAGCTAGCTTGTGCTTCCCCCAGGAGGGAGTCTGGTTGAGTCCGCTGGACTCGCTACACCATCTCTGACATTAACAGCCGGATTTTAGTTCCAAATAAATATCTGTAAAGTGCTTTGAGATCCTCAGATGAAAAATGCTGTGCACAGGCTAAAAGTTATTCTTGTCTTTCAGTGCCATGGCTGGCATGTATTGCTAACATGTCCAATCAGAAATAACCCATGCTGGGTCACTCTAGAGGTGTTGGCATTAGGTCATCCGATTAGTTTGCACGATATGGCTGTAAAGGCTATGTAGGACTCCGCAAGGCAAGGCAGCCAGTCACATCACTCCTGCTAGTGAGCAGTATGGTTACAATGGGACACAGAATAAATATGGAGGGCCACATGTCCAGGTGGGCCGCTAGCACTGCATCCAGCGAACACTGGTTTGCATGTACACGTGAGCGCCCGTTTGCTCAGTTAACCGGCTGTGCCACACGTCTGTTTGTGCGTGCAGATACACAGGGCTACACGTGCCCTTGGAGAGTTCACCTTTGAAACCTGTCCTCCGACATCCCATCAGCACTGATTGAAACTTGCGAGGAAGGGCCTCAGGGCAGTGGTGCCGTGTCAGGTCACAGTATGGGCTACATTTTGCCCTCTGTGCGTGAGCACGGCTCCTCTTGGGAATTAACTCTGCTAGGTCCATGGGGAGAGCCAGGCTTTGCAGTCCCAGTTCTCAGGAGGATGGAGCTCTCCTAGGAGGAATTATTTTCTCACCTGCTTGGTCTTCATTTCCACGCATCTTCTTTCTCTCTCCATCTCTTATCTCTCTCTCTCTCTCTCTCTCACTGAAGTAGGATTCAGTGGGGCTCTTTCAGTAAGTTAACCATTGGATTGCATTGAACACACTGCGTTTGCGCTAACCTTTGGCGTGCTGAAGGAGGATATTCCAACCGAGGCGCTATTCGGTTTTACACCATTGAACAGACAAAATGTGTGGAGCTTTGCCAGCATTTGCTATTGCCTTTGGATTACATGAGGAGGAAACGCTCAGCTTCGATTTCGTTATCCCTCATGTCAATACACTGAGGAGCACCCCTTGTCCTTGTTTTAAAGGGGGTTCTGTTAGGTGGTCCTGGTTTCTCTTAGCTCATTGATTACTAGACTAAACCTGTAGGGGGCAGAGTGGGTTGCTGCACAAGCCTTTCGCCCCCGTAGACGTGGGATCAGAACCTAACATGTAAAATGAATGGGGTGGTCTCAGCTCTTTCCAGTGCTTGTTCACCATAGACAAAGATAATGTGCCAAAAGGGTGCCCCAGCCCCACTGTATGTCAGCAGGGCTCAAAATAGTGTTTAAAGTCCTACCACGCCCATCCCTGCCCTTCCGAGGGCTGGCCAGTTTCCCTGAGCGATCGAGTATTTATTTGAGCTCTTCCCGCACTCCTCTGTGGCAGCTGGCGTTGTGTGTGTAACCCTCGGCCTGTTGCCACACAAGTAGCTGGGAGGCTTCGAGGTTGAGGGCTGATGAAGCTAACGAGAGGAGTTATTCGTTAACAGTCCAGTTTCCTTAAGCAACCAGTGTGGTTTAAACAGGACAGGCTGGATTTCTCCCATGATGCTTTGTGCTGGTACAATTCCATTGACATCACAGGAGTTACCTGTACAGAGCAGCTGCATGGGCGCTTCCTAGCACAAGCAGAATAAATGTGCTTCTAGTGTTATAGCTTACTCCAGTAAGGGAAGGGGAATAAAGTATGCCAGCGTAAAGCCCCTTTATACAGGTATAACTGCATCCACACAAGGGATTGTACCAGTACAACTATACAGATAGAAAATAATCACACCCTCCACTGCCGTAGTTATACTGGTACAAAAACTGTGTATGGACCAGGCTTAACTCCCATTGGCTTTTATCCAGACTTAGGTGCCTGTCTAACGACAGCCACTGCAGCAGGACAGCTACGGTGCTGCAGCGGTGCCATTGTAGCACCTAACATAGGTGCTTCCTACCTCGACAAAAGGGGAGTTTCTGTCAGTGTAGTTAATCCACTTCTGCCAGATGGAATTCCATCACCTACACTGGGGTTAGGTCAACCTACCTGCAGCTTTCAGGGATCAACATTTTCAGAGCCCTGAGCCATGTAGCTAGTTCAATCTGATTTTTAAGTGTAGACCAGGCCTACATGTCCAGATCACTTTAAAAAAAGTAGGCTCCTAAATCACTTAGGCACTTTTGAAACTATTAGTCTCCCTCTCTGCAGTGGTTGGAGATGGGGCAAGGACGTGGTGTCTGGATCTGAATCCAGATTCAGTTTCTCCTGGGAAGTGTTTGAGTTTTAGGCAGAAAGGGACACCTTTTCAATAGGTTTCAGAGGGGTAGCCGTGTTAGTCTGTATCAGTAAAAACAATGAGGAGTCCTTGTGGCACCTTAGAGACTAACAAATTTATTTGGGCGTAAGCTTGCGTGGGCTAGAACCCACTTCATCAGATGCATGGAGTGGAAAATACAGCAAGCAGGTATAAATATACAGTACATGAAAAGATGGGAGTTGCCTTACCAAGTCAGTGCTAACGAGGCCAATTCAATTAGGGTGGATTTGGCTTCAATAGGGCTTCTCCAGCACAGTCCCTCTTGGAACTGTTGGGAGCACACGAGGAGTGCGTTCACGGTGCCTCCCTGTAGGGGGCTGCAACACATTCTCCCTTGTGCATCTGGCCAGCTGTGTTGACTGGAGTGGAGGGGGTGGAGCCATGTCTCCACTTTCCCCTACCCCTGGTGGAGTGCTTTGTACCCCAGGAGTTCGTAGAGAGACACTGCCCCTGTGTGTAGGAGAGCACAGGGCTGAGAGGATGCAGACCGAAGGCTGGTTCTTTGCCCCTGGCAAGCCCATCCAGTGCCTAGGTCCAGTCTAGCCCTTTCTGTGCACACGCAGCTGTGGCAACCCTTTATGTACAAATATCTTCAGCATGGTGAAGAATCACCAAGAACCCACTTAAATGCCCTTAGCAAAGTGCTGAACTTCTGTTAAACAAAGAAAAGGTTTCCCTGCAGTGATCAAACTAACAGCCTAATCAGCTTCCAGATGGCACTCCCCAGGGATGAAATCCACCCTGGGCAGGGGACCCAAACCTACCTAACACTTGGGTTCTACCGACCTATGCAAACCCCTTTCACAGGAGCAAAAAAAATAAAATAACTCTACAGATAACAACCAGTAACTTCCTTGTGTTGCACGAAATCTTAGAGAAAAGAAATGTAGAGGCTCGTCTGCTTTGGCTCCAGTTTAGGAAGTTTCTGAACAGCATGTGAAAGCTGAGGAGCTGGGATCTCAGCATTTGCCCAAGAAGAAGAAATCAGTCCTTACTGAACAGTGCTCAGGTTATCAGCTAACCTGGAGGGCTGGGCCTCTAGTGATCACTTACTGCTCCACCAGCCAACTTCTTCAAAAGCAGGAAGAGCTGATGGGCCAAAGTGGCACACTTGGTGTAATCTCATTGACTTCATTCGAGTGACACCAGTGATTCATTTGGCCCGGGGAGTCTAATCATGGATGATGGGGGAAGCGTTCCCGCGGGGCCTCAAGATCCCTAGCCAGACTCTGGAAAGAGTTACTCTGATGCTGTGACTTGTCCATCAAAGGGGAGGAGCTGGAGCTTTGTGCGGGCATCACACTCCGCTGCCAGGAGGAAAGGGTGAAGGGAGGGCCTAGCACTCCTCAATAAAAGGACCCCTTCCAGCTACTCGGCCATGGCATTGCTATGGACTGGATGGGAGTTCGTAGCTGGCAGCAAGGGGAGGAGGAGCGCTACAGCGCTCTAATGGGATTGCAGGGGATCTGCAGGAGAGGGGCGGAGAAAAGAGTCCAGTGTGTCTGTCATAACAGGGATCCTCCCTCTCCCTTAGCTAGGAGCAGCCCTCGGGCGCGTGGCAGGTCAGACCCCTTCTCTGTCTCGCTCAGCTCTCCTTACAGACGTGGGGTGAGACAGCAGCGTGACTGTGTGCGCGGTCAGGGCACGCCACGTCTCCCAGAACTCCATATAAACGCAGGGCCAGATGCACAGCTGGGATCCGCAGGCACAGCCGCGCTCGCTGCGGCGGCGTTGCACTCACTGACCCCAGAAGGGAATTGCCCCTGCAGCGGCGACCTACTCACCCTTCAGACCGACTTGAGGTTCCCAGGTCCTCCCAGGTCTCTGTGCTGTAGCCTCCCTGTGGGACAGGTAACGCCTGCAGCTGGAGTCAGCCGCAGAGTGTTCTCCTTAATGTGCCATGTCACCCTATGCCTCTTGCCTGGCCAGCGGTGACCCTGACTGAGTGGCCTTCCTGAGACAGACACAACCAGGCTGTGACTGGTTTGGTTGAAGCATCAGTAGCACCCCGAAGACAGCTGAGAGAAGGCCTCAGCTGCTGCTGTGCTGCTGTTGCCCAAACCAGGACCCGTGGAGCTCACGTGGTGGGAGATTAGGCTAGGGTGGTAGGTCCTGCCATGGGATGTTGCCAAGGGAGATCAAATTGATCCGGCTGGAGACAAAATATACTCCTCTGAGGGCAGCCTGAATGCTGGCAAATCCCAGTCTGAGAACTTTGCAGTGAGCCCTCTGGTTCCGCAGCAGTTCAGAAAAGAAGCCGCCCTCCCCAGGGGCAAGGCTGCGTCTCCCAACAATCAGCACGCGAACGGTTAGCGTTTCCGAATGGCACCGACTTGTGATTTTGCTATTGTAAGAATCGGGGGGAGGGACGATCCCCTTAGAAGGGGCAGCGCGGAGGGTGGGGGAGGGACAGCGCCAGCAGGCACTGACAGCAGCTCTGCTTGGTTCCTCAGCGCCTGGTGCGGATGAACATGCCGATCTCGGACCCAGACTTAACGGTCCACTTCACTTCCACGCTGATGGCCTTGATCCGGACCGCTCTAGAAATCAAACTCGCGTCAGGTGAGAGGGGAGAGGAGAGGGAGACGGGCGCGCACGTGAGCGTGAGCTCGGAAGCTAGCTTGCAGCTGGGTTATTGTGCAGAGAGGGCCAGCCCGCTAAGCCAAAGGAAGGGGACGCGGAGGAGGAGTTCCATAGAGGAAGTGGGAGGATCCTCTAGCCGATTACCTCCACCTCCTAAAAGGGAAGGTGGACTGATGGATTTTGGATTGGGAGACCCCAGCTCTGCTCTGACTCAGGGTATGTCTACACAGCAGCTGGGCGGTGTAATTCTCAGCCCGCATTGATGTAAATGGGCTTGGCTGCAGCAGCACGGCCGACGGCTTCGGCTAGCTGCCCGAGAACGTACCCAGATGGGTGGGTGGGACTGTGCAGCAGCTAGCCCGCTCCGCTCCGCCCCCCGGGCAGCTGCAGCTACCCGGCTAATTTTAGCCTGCTAGCTGGAGCAGAGCTAGCGCCTTGGTCTGTGCGAGCTGGGAATCGCACCGCCGGGGTGCAGTGCAGATGTACCCGCAATGTGTGTCCTCGACAAGTCACTCCACCGCTCTGTACTGCTTTGTAAATGGAGAACGTGGCTTGTTCTCCCGAGTCAATGGCTGTGAGGTGAAAAGCCCCAGGCAAGCACCAAGCGTTGTGATTTAAAAAAAAAAAAAACAACCCTGACTCCTTAGGTTTTATTGCCTTAGCCAGGCCAGTCAGAAGAAAAACCTCTCCTTGCTAATGATCCTGTCTGCTGGCGTGGAAGCCGCGAGTCTGCGAGCTCTGACCTATATTATGCTCTGAGATAAAATTCAATTATTGAAATGCTTAATCAGGCAGATACATGGCTTCCCAATTAAACAATACAATATAATAAAATATATCAAATTCTACCTTGGATTGTTAGCCTGGTTAATCGGCCTTCAAAGCTGTGGCTTCTGCTGGAGCCAGGGACAGAATGGAAATGGCCAGAGGTCTTTGATGGTCATGTAGAATGGCAACCTAAAGGGAGGACAAAGCATGTCCCTGTGGCTAAGATGCGGGACTGGGAGTCGGGAGAGGTGGGCTCTGTTCTTGGCTAACTGAATGAGACTGAGGATCTCGGCCTACATGACTTGCCCAAAGGCATTTAGGCACCTAACCCCTATTCACAGACTCATAGACTTTAAGGTCAGAAGGGACCATTATGATCGTCTAGTCTGACCTCCTGCCCCACGCAGGCCACCGAATCTCACCCACCCACTCCGGTATCAAACCGGTGTCTGGGCCATTGAAGTCCTCAAATCAATGGGAGTGAAGAGCCTAAATACCGATGAGGCTCTACAGCTTAACCTCTTTGTGATACTTTCTCAGCTCATAGTAGGGCTGGACGCTTTAGCTCATAAATGCACTTTGAGATCTTGGGGTGAAAATTGCTCTAGGGCAGTGGTCCCCAAACTTTTTACCTTGTGCCCCCCCTTACTCCTGTCTGCAACACACACCCCTGGAGGTGGGGGCAGGGCTGGGAGCAGAGCTGAGGGCTGAGACCAGCAGCTGGGACCCCAGGCATGGGGCCGGCAGCTGGGGCCCTGGGCGCTGGGGCCAGGAACGGAGCTGGATGATGCTCCCTCCCCGCTGCCTGTGGGGGCTGGTCTGGGCCCCAGCTGTGCTCCCCCGAACATTCTCTGTGCCGGGGGCACGCCCCACAGTTTGGAGACCTCTGCTGTAGGGGGCAAAATATTATGGTCCAATGGATCTAGGCTGACTGACACCAGCAGAGGTTCTGACCATGTAACTTTAAAGCAGGTGTTTAGGACGGTCTCATTTCTTAGGGGCCAGGACCGCCTTCACACTAATAAGCCTGCGTGTGAAGGGGACAGCCGAGCCCTGAGAGCCTGTGTCATTTTCTTACATTTCACTGGTGATCGGTCAGGCCGAGTCACTTCATTGAGGGTGACTGTCTGCGAGACCTTTGGCCATATGCAAACAGGAACCAGCAAAATAGGCCACTTTCCACAGAACGGGGTTTGAGGGGGTACAGGGTAGTCAGGGGCATGGATTTGAGGTTCTGGATTTGGCCTTACCCATTATTACCTGGTTGGTTTGGATTTTTAGGTTTCTCCTGCCAAATGTAATTGAGAGTGGCTGGTAGGACAAACTGTCCCGTAAGCAACCCATGAGATGCAGCGTGGCAGGTGGCATGCTCCAAGCCCTGTTATAAGAGCGATAATAGTCTCCTCCGTTTGCTTTGCTCTTAGAAAATCCATCTCTGTCATAAGGATAAACTACTCAGCCTCGTACTGTGCAATTTAGCCACTTGGGAACCAGCCTGTTACCTCATAAATACTTGAATCATTCTCAGCCCGCATGTCGAGAACCCACTTTGGCCTTTTTAACGTTCTCGCTGTCCTTGTGTTTCGTTTTATAGCATTTATTTGATGATGATGTTATATAACGGTCTTTTAATTTTTTTGTGTGTGCCGCCCCCCCACACCCACCCTGGTGAGGGGGGAAGGGGAGCGCGTGCGGGGAGAGTGTTTATGTAATCGCTCAAGCCACTGTTATTTCATAGTAAGATTGTTTTCTGCTGTGGCTTTGCTGAGTCCCTCGGAAGCAGCTAATGATGTGAGAAGGACATTGTTCAGGTTATAGGGTAACCGTGGCCATGCGTCCCGCTGGTGGGGACACCAGATCAAACTGGTCCCTGAAATATTGTACTGGTCAGACTGAGTCCGTTCCAGAACTCACACGCTGGTTTATAGTGGGGAGGGCTAGCGCTGCCGTTAATATCAGTGGTGAAGCTGCTCCTGACTCGGTGTTCTGGGAAGAAGGCAGGGGAATGGGTTTGGAAAAGACAGGATCTGTTCACATGGTAGCTTGCTTGTTCATTTGAGGTACAAATGAGGAAAGTACGTGTGCAACGTATAGTCGTTTGCGCTCCGCGTCATTTGCCTTTTTTGCCCCCTGCCCAGCGGGTGTGAAGCAGCACCAGTGTGATGCCGAGCTGAGGAAAGAGATCTCTCTGGTTTGGCCCAATCTGTCCCAGAAGACATTGGACTTGTTGGTGCCTCCCCATAAACGTAAGTGCTAAGGAAGGATCCTCTTCCCCTTAGAAGCAATGCAGAGACATGAACCCAAAAGCCCATTCCAGGCAGCCACAGAAATCCAGGTTCTTCCCCTCTCGTGCCCAGAGCCAACCCTCGGGGTGCACCGCAGTCTAGATGACACAGTACAGAAGCCCATTTCATCCTCTGCCTGGAGTTTCCTTCAAGTGTCACCTCTGGAACGCTCACAGCCTCATGTCCCTATCCCTCCGTAGTAAGAATCCCAGGTCACTCCCAAGCATGGGTCTCAAAACATTATATCCTAGTGCCTCTTGCCTGAGCCAGTAGATTCATTGCATTGTGGACGAAGATAATACATAGTGGCCAGAAGAGAGCAATGCCTTGTCCAGCCTCTTCAAGAGAGATTTCTTTGTCATGCAGCAGTCCTGCTTCCTGTAGTTTTATCTGCTTCCAGTCTGGCTCCTGCAGGTCAGGGGAGCAATTTCTACCATCTGGGTTCTGTCTGCATCCAAAAAAAAAGTCAAGAGAAGGATGTTAAAAGCTGCAAAGAGCCCGTGTAATAGGAAGGGGGGGGTTAGTACTAAAGGCTTAATCTCCCCTAAGGATGGCCTGTGGGAGCGTGTTGAGAAAATGGAAAGTTTGAAATTCTCTTGGTTGGCAAAAGCAAGGGCTCTGAATCCCCTGGCTTGCTGATTAATGAGAAACAGCCCCGTCCAATCAGGGCAGCTTTAACTGAGAAAGGTATGGCGCTAAGCTGCGCGACAGGGAGAGGTCAGTGAGAGACCTGTAAAACAAAAACAAACCAAAAAACCATCTGGAAAAATGAAATACAATTTAAATGTATATTAGCCCGTTATTCCCCTGTTGATGATAATATAATGAAAGAAAAATAAGGCCTTTCTGATGATAAAAAGGCCGGCTGCAGATCTGGTATTAATTTAAACGTTCTTTTCTGTCTCCCATTCTTACACCACCATACGGCTTTACTTGCCTAGGGCATCCTTCCTGTAACCTATCCCTTACAAAGAGAGCAAAGCTAGGGGGGTGGGTGGCTTTCAAAGCGGGGTGCCAGAGAGAGGAAAGGCAACAATGGTCAGGGAGAGAATGAAGGAAGAGGAAAATTGCTAAGCTGAAGAAGTCTGTTCTAACCATGTCTTTTCCTCTTTTTTCTCTCTCCCTCCTCCTCCTTCTCCACTTCTAATGTGACGTCTTATATGGCTTTTTACTTGCTTTTCTTGTCCATTGGACATTTCCCCCATTTAAATAATTTCTTCCCTTTCCCTCCATTTCTAACACCCGTTCCTTCTCTCCCCCTGCACCTTTCCCCCTCTCCATCTGACTCTCCTTTCTGCACTTCACCTCCCATTTCCTAATCCAGCTGACGAAATGACTGTGGGGAAGGTCTATGCCGCTCTCATGATATTCGACTTCTACAAGCAGAATAAAAACAGCAGGGAACAAGTGCACCAGCCACCTGGAGGTCTTTGCCAGGTACCCAGCAACAAGACGCTGTTCCCTCTTCTCACTCCCACCAAGGTGCCTGTGCATCTCACGGTCCTTTATACTAGCAATGACCAAACCTCAGAAAGTCTAGCGGTCCCATTCCCTCCAGCACCTGAAATTTGGGTTGCTTCTCCAAGCCTTTTTGAATTGTCGAAGCATCTTGGAAGTGGAAAATCTCATTTAGTTTCTAACCCTTCCTAATTTCAGCGGAGCTGGAAATACCTTGGGTAAAATTTCCAAAAGCACCTAAGTGACTTAGGAGCCTATGTCTCATTAAAAGTCTATGAGATTTAGGCTCTTTAAGTGACTAAGAGTAATATTTTCAAAAGCAGTAAATGTGCTTAGGCCCTTGGGAACCTAAGAGCCATTGAAAGTCAGTGAGATCTAGGCTTCCAAGTGCTGCCACTTTTGAAAAATGGAACTTAGGCACTGTTGAAAATTTTACTCCTTGAAAATATCTCCACCCATGGTGTTTGGGCACTTCTCTTCCTACCCTGGCCAGAACTGAGAGGGCCGAGGCACATATAGCCTGGTAAATTTTGAGAGTGTGAGATTGTACTTGTCACTAACGCAAGTTCTTCCCCTAGATGGCTACACAGATATTGTGGTTGAGTGTGGGACACACAGATAGAGACTTGATGATGTTTTAGGTAATGCAGGCAAGTGTAATTGAAATTATAGACGAAGAAAAGAAAGCACAATAATTATAACAAAACTTCCCAGATTATGCAGATTTATGGTGATTGACATACTTACAACATCATGGAGACTGATTACAGTAAAAATAGGAGGAAAATCAGTGGTGCTCACTGTGACACTTACCACACAAGGAATGTGCTGGTCTAGGCTTCCTATTTGGTTGCCCACAAACATCTGGGACCATATCTAATTAAATCTCAGCCCCCTACTCATATTTGATATTCTGAGAGACCAGTTTTAGGGTTCTGGTTGTCCACATGTGATATTCCAGTTGACCATAATTACATTTCCAACAGTTAATGTGAGTCCCTTTCCCAATAGTTTTGGTACATCAATGCAGTTAACTTTTATTGCAAAAAGCCCCTAAGATGCTGTCATCTCTTCATTTGTGGTTTATCTCTTTATCCCTAGATGCATTGCTAACTTCTCACAAAATACAGATTGCCGTATTTAACCCTGTGTCAAGCACATATTTCATAACCTTTGGTCAAGTACATAATATTTATGCTAACTTATGCTGACTGCCGACCTCTACTAGGCCTGACTCTAAGCCTTTAACGCTTAATGCTTAAGACCTATAGCCGAGCCTATTTTTAATACACGTATTTGGGTTTTTCTACTTGCTGTTGCAGCTTCAGTAACTTCCATTATGATGTCTATAAGCATGCTTTACAGATAAGTTATATTTTACCCCAAACTGTAGTCCCTCCAAGATCAGGTCAGGTGTCAGCGGTCAGCAATGACAAACAATGAGTGAAAAGTTTATGCAAACACTGAGAAAGATTTGGCTTGAGTTTGGGGCCAAGGTTTGGGTTGATTCCTATTGTAGCCAAGCTAGTTCATCTGTCCCTGTTTATCATTACTGTGATCCTTACTTTTGCTGCAATAATCATTCCACAGCTCACAAGCACGGCATGTTGTTGTTGTTGGGCTAAATCCTGAGGTTCTTACTCAGAATTTAAACCCAGCTCCCGTTGACTTCAAAAGGCCTTGTGACTGAATAGGAACTGCAGGAATGATCCCCATGCTGTGTCCATGTTCAGATCTTAAGGTCATAGGATAAAATCTTGGCCATACTGAAATCAGTGACAAAACTCCCACTGACTTTAGTTGGGCCAGGATTTCGTCTATAAAGTGTATAATATAGTCATAGGGTCACTCAGTTAACGCCAAGCTGGGATGATGAGTAAATTTCATTGGTATCATGAAGCCCTAAATCAGAAACATGGCCTTGGGATTGAAATAACAAGCACCTAGTAGGCTTCAGGGTGATGTTCAGTACGAGACTCGGTATCCCAGACTGAGATCTGAGTTAGCACCTGACCCTTTAAGCTGTGGGACCTTTTGAGGTTGACTCAAGACCATATCATTTTATTCTGTTTGATCTGAAAATTGATGTGTAGCTAAAACCATTCCTCCTAAACAGCCTGTCTTATGAACTATAAAAGGCTCAGCTATGTGCTATGAAAACGAACCGGAAAGAGCGAAAGAAAACATTTTTAAAAGTGAATTTAGTGCTGGAACAAGGTGCCAGATTGACATCCCTGGTTTGTGATGTTCTTCTGTTTGCCCACAGAATGTGTACAGCAAGGACAGTGGCGACGCATGCTTCCTTTATACTTTCCCTGCAACGTGCTCATCCCTGATACATAGGGACCACTTTTAAGGTCCATGTGGCCCTCGCAGCATGTGGCCTATCCATAGAGAATGCCAGTGAAGGGGGCAATTAGTGCTGGTTGTGATCTTGGAAGAGGGTTTAATAATGTGGACACCACTAAGAACGTGACTAGGAAAGACCACACCCCACGTTCTCCAAGCAGCTGTAGCTTTCTCACTGATGCCCTCTCCTTATGCATTGCAGACTGGACCAGTGTCGTTGTTCCACCCCTTGAAAGCAACCCTGGAGCAAACCCAGCCTCTGGTGTTCAACCACGCTAAAGCATTCCTTCGCCAGAAAAGTTGCACCTCGCTCAACAATGGGGGCACATTGTGAGTATTCCCTGGGCTTCCCACAATTACCTTTGACTGCGGTGGCCCCCACGGTGATTTCTCCGTAGTTCTCCGATTTCTCAGTATTCGAGCCAGCCCCCTCGTGCAGTCTGCATTTCGTAACTTCCCACCATTGCTAGTTTGTGTTTTCGGGCTCCGGGAGCTTGGAATATTGCAAAACTTGCCCAGTGAACGTTCACTGATTCTAAAGAGTCTTGGAGCCAAAGAATGCCCCCCAGATATGACAGGACTTAATGTCAGTGAGAGTTTCCATGCATGGTACTGCGAAGAATTTGGCCTTCGTTTCCTGCAGCCAGACAATACAATCTCTGCACAATATGCATGCCAATTGTCCTCTACTTCCCTCCCTGTTTCCTGCTCTCCTTGTGTGTTAGATTTGTCTGGGTCACTCATGCCACTGACATTCAACAGTAGACCTCTGAGATATAAATACATTAATAACCAGTAGGGGGAAATATGGTGGTAATAAACTGTAAAAACCTAGAGGTAAATTTATCCCTGATGCAGCTTTGCTGATTTCATTTGCGTTACACCTTAGAGGAATTTGGCCAATAACATTTAAGAGTCTTAGCCTAGCTGGCCATGTTAACGTAACTTCTCCATGTTTTACATAAGCATGTGTATTTGCTGAGTATTTTTGTGTGTGTTTACTAGTGACAGTCTAGCATTCGTCCGTTCTTTTGTGGAAAATACCCCCGTTTAGCAACCTGTGATCTGCAAGAAAAGTTTGGTCGTCTGTGTCAGTGCCAGAATTAATTTCCTAAGGCACTGAAAACAGGTTGCTGTTTTCCCTTTTAAGTAGATTGGTTTTGTTTCCATGTTCTTCCTGAGATCCTCAGGGAGAATGAGGAAATTATCTGTCAGTCAAAGCTCAAGAGCCCTGTAGTTTACTAGCTTCACCAGTCGCTCCCCCCATCCAGCCACACGACTTGAGAAGTGGGGGACCCCCAGACCGCTCCAGAGCGCTTTAACTAAATCCAGCTGCAACGCCTAGCACAGCAGTTCACCTTTTCTCTTCACCTTGCACCAGGCCAGCCCCAGAGAGCGGGATCAAGGAGTCTGTTTCGTGGGGGACTCAGCGCACTCAGGATGTGTTTTACGAAACCAGGACCCCAGCTTTTGAACGAGGCCACTCGGAAGAAATTCCCATTGAGCGGACAAGCAAACAGGTGAAGATAAAGCAGAATGCAATAGGTCTCCATAGGTGTCAAGCGAGTTATTCCTTTTGACTCCCAAACAGCTCCCCATTCATGTTTTGGGACAAATATTGCTCTGTTGGTTGCAAAAGTCTTGCTTGGATGTAACTGGGAACTGAATCTGACCCATTCATGTCTTTGTAACACTTTCTTTGGCAGATGCCCCTCTTGGGTGTGTGGCGGATTCAGGCTTATTCCAAATGGGAGCATGGGGGAGGAAGAATGGTCTCATGGCTAGGTGGCTGGATTGGGAGATAGGAGACTTGGGTCCAATTCCCAGCTCAGCCACAAACGTTGCTGTGTGACCTTGAGCAAGTCACTGTGCCTGGCTTCCCCATCTGTCCCTTGCCATACACCTGGATCTCATTGGCTGTTGGAGCTGCTTGGAATTGGTGCTCAGATGACAGGCAGGGGAAGAAAAGAGAATTTGGGATTAGTTTGGCATCATCGATACATGATCAGAGGTGGACACGGCTGGACAGTGGGTGTTAAGTGGGGCAGGGCGGAGGGGGACGAGGGTTGGGCTGTGACTGTTCCTTCTAGCGAGTGTCATTTTCACAGCAAAACTTTTCAGAACTGGAGAAACCGGAGCAGGGGAAATTAGCCAAGAGGAGGAAATCAGAAACCAAACACCCAAAGGCGGATTGAGGGACTAGTGTGATGGGTTTACGGAGTCTTTAAATTGTAGGTCACCTATTCAAATCCAGCCCAGGTGAATAGCTACTGCGAGTGTTTACCATAGGATGGCTCTTCAGTGACCTAGCTGAGGTTTGGGGTCTTTAGTGCAGCTCCTTGCGTATCGACGGGCTGTACTATAAAAAGCACCACCATATTTGGCACTAATTGGCTCCCTTATTGACTGAGTGCGGCGTGGAGACTGACCTACGCTGAGAAGGGGTCCACGTTGAGGCGTGCTGGCAGGGCAGTGTGGGGAAGCGTACACCAGCACTCTCCAGGCTGAGCTAGTTCTGTAGATAAATAGTGACCTTCGGTCACCAGGGCTATCAGGCTGGTGTCTCGGACTAGCCGTAAATCCTCACAGATGAAATAGAAACCCAGCAGTTCGCCTTAGTCCTGGAACAAGCCTGGCAGAGCGATTGCTTTAAACAGACATTTATGTTCCTGCTTCTGAAAATATTTCTCAATCCAATCAGGTTGTAGAAATGAGAGAAATCAGCCCCACCCTGGCCAACGGAGAACACCAGCTTGGCCTGGAGAGCCAGGGGCGGGCGGCTTCCATGCCGCGTCTGGCCGCCGAAACTCAGGTGAGGGAGGGAGGCTTTACTGGCAATGGAAAACTTACAGTAAGTCAAGCATTCAACACGTTCTCTCTTCTTGTCCGTGTCATGTTGTTTTTTAAAGCGACTGGTGGGTTGTTTTGTCTTTAAGAGACACTGATGGAGCGGGAGGCTCAGAAATTTGAGCAGCCTTTGTGCTTTTGATCCTTGGGATGCTGTGTACACAGAGCTGTTCCCCCAGCTGTCTCCATCCCCTTATACAGGCAGCAAAAAAGAAATCCTGCTCTCTGGGCGAAGCACCTCATTTAATCTGATGTCTGTCTAGCTGAAAAGATGTGTTCCGACTGACAGGGAGTCACTCTATGGTTTGCAGAGGTGTATTTCATAGCCTTGCATAGAACATGCATACGTCACTGCCCTGAGTCCGTGGCGGGGTATATCCATAGCCCTGGGAATAAAACAAGCTGCATGTTTCTTTTTGATGAGCCGGTTTATATATGAAATGTGCTGTAGGCGCTCCCTCACCAGAGGGCTGCATTTAGACACTAAGCATTTCCTCTGCCTCTCTCCTCCTCCACCCTCCAACTAGGTTTAGCATGTAGTGCACTGTATGGTGGATTGGTAATATGATGCTTAAGACTTTACTTCCTTTGCTTATCTGATGGAGCCTTGCAAGGAAGCCTTGTCATGAGAGGTGGCCTTCAGAGCAACTTTGTGACTACCCCTGTGCGCTTCATGGGGCACACGACAACACGGTTTTCTCAAATCACTTCTGGGCATTTCACAGGTGCATTGCTAACATGTCCGCCAGACACTCTCCGATCACCACACTGCCTGTTATGTGTTAGAACATCTCCATCTTGCCATGCCTAGTTGTGTCTCTTTAGCTCAAATTGCCTGATTCATATAATACTGAGTGAGTCACATGTGACTGTGCTGTTCCACAGGTGAGACAGAATGTGGGAGGTGTGCTGAATTCTAGAACTGAAGGGCTCTCGTGTATACAGCAGCACCTCCAGTAGATATGTCCTTCCTTCCTGACTGACTGTATGACAGCCAGCTTGGATCAGTGCACAGACTGCACCCAGCTCTTCTGTCTGGATCTCTGTGCTACCTTAAGGAAGATCTAAAGGAACACCTTTCCCCAAGGACTGTAGGAAATCCTTGGATAAGACTCTATCTCCCCGAATTCTTTGTGTTCTCAGAAACTCTATTTATTTTGCTTAAAACCAACCACCCCCATCCCCAAGCCCCGAAAGCTGAGCTACCCTGATGGGATAGACTTGTGCCAGGTTCTACCAAACCTAAAGCCATTCCTAATGGGAACAATGTCAGCATACGAACCCTAAAAACAACCCTTCCTTGGGCGTTAGTGTTGGGCATTGATCCTTTTCTTCAATGCAATATTAACACTAACTTCATATTTGCATTGCTCTTTTCAGCCTGTAGAATCCCAAAGCACATTAAGGACTGTGCATGTAAACAGTGGTTGCTAATAAAATTTTTGCTGATGCTTGCAAAGGCAAAACTATAGATTTTAATGGGGACCACTGCACATGCATAGGAATCCCTCACCCACCACTGAAAAGCAGCTGTGTCTTAGTAGCCATTTCACTTAGTAGCATCTCTTCCTGGGAAATTTCAGGGGTTAACACAGAAATTGCATGAGTTTTTTGATGACCACAGGACACTAAAATAAAGGCTAACCCCTCCAGCACCACAGCATTCCCAGCACCACACCGCTCCAGTTTAATACACTGATTCACACGGAAAGAGGTCACCTGTAGCACTTGGGCAGTCCTTGGAAAACATACCCAGTACTGACCAATCCCAGCCTTGCTTAACTGATGAGAACTGACAAAATCACAGTCCAAGGTTGAAAAGCCTCATGTCCCACAGATAGCCCTCCAGCAGAACAGATGAAATCTGCCAGACTGCTCCTGGGCTCTTCCGTAGACCCATCATTTTCCCTCAGGAGACTCCTTCAACTTCTCCTATAGTTTTTTTTTTAAACAAAACAAATCGATGCCTCCATTTCCCCAATAAAGAATTACAGATGAAGCCTGTGAGCAAATAGGGGCATGGGAGGGAGGCCATTAACGAAGCTAGGGAGTGAATTTCTTGCTCAAGAGAAGCATGTTGCCCAGAGCGAAGTGCACACTCTCCCTGCATTAATGCTGTGTCATTTATTTATGAATCAGGCCTATGCTGTCTGAACAGATCTAACCTCATTTAATGATATAATGTTTTAGTGCTTGTAGCTTCAGCAGAATAACTGATGTCCTTTCTGTGTGTTTCCCCTCTGTGCCCTCCCCCGTACCCTTTATGTGCTACTTCTGGTTCCTCCCCAAACTTTAATTTCTTTTTTAACTTTTATTAACAATCCTTTTTCTTCATTCATCCCCTTTTCTGTTTGCCTGTCACGTCTCTGTCCTTTTGCGTTTCACGTCTTTTATCGTTTCACGCTACCGATCTCGCTTCCTCCCTCCCCGTTTGCTTTCTTCCTTTCCTCCGGTCACCTTCCCTCCCGTCTCATCATCTCGTCTGCTGCACATCTGCCGTGATGTCTGACAATGGCTGCTTCAAATATTCTCTCTCATCTTGTCCGAATTGTTTGCAGAGGAGCAAAACACGGTCACCGGGGAGTTACCTAGCAGTATGTAGTTTGCACTAAGTTGTATCCTATTCAATTGTTATTAAGCAATGATTAACATTCGCTAACCCCTTTCTCCCCCTCCCCGGCACTCCTTGTTTGGTTTACTTTCTGGTGCTGTAAAGATGCAACTGTGGTCTCCCTCTACTTCAGTTCATGGCAGTTCCTTTGATCCATAGTTGCAGACTGCACATTGTGATACCTTGCCTTTGTTTGTATTGCCTTGTTGGCTAAAAATGTCATAAGGGAAAACAGTAAGGGTTGATAATGAATGAGAAACTTATGAACCTCTCAAAGGCTCTGGTATGTTCTCCTCCCGTACGTCTCCACTCGAACTGGAGGTGTCATTTCCTGCTTGCGTAGGTGTAACCATGCTAGGTTTGAGGGGGACTAGCACGCTAACAATAGAGCCACCCGAGTACATACTAGGGTCCCGGGTGGGATTGTACGCCAGCAGCTGGCTTCTCCGGCCCCCCATGCTGCTACGGCTACACTGCCATGTTTAGCGTGCTACCGCAATCAAACCTAGCATGTGTACTGGAAGTGACATCTCCAGCTCCAGCATAGATGTACCTTGGGTGTAGGTGGTAATGAAAGCCGCCAGGAGGGAATAGACCTGTCTGTGTGGTATAGGAAGAGAAACTGTTCTAATCAATCTCTCGTTAGTTTCGGGGGAAGGGGGGGAGGAGAGGGTTGCACCTGGAACAACTGAAGAATCAGGCCCTAGGAAGGTTTGTTTCCTATGTACTTGGCTTCTCTTTTGAAAGTCTTTGCCCCTCTCTGCCCTTTTCCTTTGCAACAGTTCCTTTGGGCAGAGGGAGGTTATCAGGTTACGTAATCTAAGGTCTTGATCTACGTTTTTAGGATGGGGGGATTTCCTGCATTTACTTCCTGGCCAAGATCTGTCATTTCCCAGATCTCAGCCTGTCAAATCTGCAGTGTTGTTACCTTACCCTCAGCCCCTCAAAAAAGAAATCTCCTGGCTCTGAATAATAAGTGTGGGGACCTGGCACTGGGAGGTCATTCCATGCACAGGGGGCAGCGTGGAAGAAGGTACAAAGCAGGCAATGGAAAAGGAAACAAATAAGGCCTGAATTATACTGTTCGCTCTATTGGTGACTTAAATACAGAGCTCTGTCTGATTAAGACAGGTACATCTCGTGAAGGTCCTATAAAATGGACAGCTCCAGAGTGGGGAAAGCCCACTTGTGAGTTCCAGGAGAGGGCGCTCAAGCGGCACTGTCCTTTATTCAGCATTTTGTCTATATGGGCTGAATAACCTGCCAGTCCCCTGTTCGGAGATCCTCTTTGCCTCCTTTCTCTTCCCCCTTACTTAAATTTTTTTATTAAAGTTAATGTTAAAAAAGTCCATAGTGCCCAGGTTAAGAGAGGAGTGTCTGTACATCTGGGTATAGTGCTTTGATTATCCACAAATACAAAGTTTGTTTTTAAAGTCATAAGGTACATAGAGTGCACACTCAGCAATAACCCAAATTTAGGTGAACACATTTAAGAATACAGTTTAGACATTAGCCTCTAAGTAGTCAGGTCCATCACTCATGAAGAGTTATACAGAGAGTTGGTTGTGGAAAGCAAATGCAGCAATGAGTGTAGATTGTCCCTCGGTCATTGAGAATTTAGAGTAGGTTGTCCATTTAGAAAATACAATCCACCAGGAAAGTATTTCAGTTACTTTCCCCACTGCGCGTCTCATCTACTACTCACCACTCCAAACCTACACCACTCACCAGAGCCATCTTCCCAACTGGGCAGCGAGAGTGTTAGCCGTCCAACCAATTCCTGTCCCTTTACCGTGATTCAGAATACTCCTGTTCAAAGGTTGCAGTCACAACTGCCCTGCTCCTCAATAGGCTGCAGTATCACCGCACCCTGGAGAGAGTCCTCTTGGCCATATCTTAATCCCCGGTGCCCAGTCTGTGCCTTCCCAGTGCTTATGTGTCTGTGAGAGCCCTGCTTCCAGCAACAACATCCCACCTGGGAGGCCTGATGGGAAGGATCACGGTTTGGCTGAGTTGCTGGGAAGAAAGAATGCGGGGATTAAAAATTCTGCTCAGATTGCTCCCTGGCATGTGAGATAAGCAACCCCATCACTGACACTACCCACTAGGAAATGAAGGGTGTCTTTACATTAAAAATAATTGCATACCGGCTAGCCTAATAATGTGCAAATATCTGGGGGCAGCAGATACTCAAACTCCAGTGTATGCTAACAAAGTGGCACCACCAGTTAAAAAAACAACCACCAGAACAACCCCACAATGGAGTAGATAGAAAGGTTAAAAAGAACAACGTTAATGCTTTGCTAGAGCTGTCATTTTAGGCACACATAGGAGGAGGGAGCATTCTGTCATGCATATGACCAAAGGGACAGAGAGAAATCCTGAGTCCACATCCATGAGACTTGAGACTGTTGTGGGTAGAAGTCTCTTCTCTACCAAGTTCCTTTTGCCTAATGAGTAGACACAGCAGAACCTCTAGAGGGTGGCTGACACGTCCATAAAGCAGGGCCACAGAACAACTGGAGACAAGCAAAGTGAAAGAAAAGATAAACAGATTCTTGTCATTTATGGAGCTTTGTCAGTGGTCGCTGGGCAGGAGACAGGTCTCGAGCTGAGCTAGTAGCAGTCAGGATCATAGAATATCAGGTTGGAAGGGACCTCAGGAGGTCATCTAGTCCAACCCCCTGCTCAGTGCAAGCAAAGACCATGGCAATGTAGAGAGAGACCAAAACTCAAAGCACACTGGGGACTCCTCTCAGTGACCCCAGCACCTGCCCCATGGCACTACTCTGCACATGTCCTACCATGGTGCTAAGGGCTCAAGTTCCATTAGAGTTTCAACAGGATTTCCACTTTGGTTCTCCAAGAAGTCTGTCTTGTGAGGCCCTCCCAGCAGACAGAGCGGTCCTCTTCTCACCGGTCTCCCCTTCAGCCACGTTGTGGCTCTGAACCTGCATCATGATGGATCTGCCTTTTCTCCTGCAGCACCTTGGCAACAGGTGAAATGTTCTGGAGCGGGGAGCTGCTGTTCTTAGAAAGGCAGGGCTGGGGATATGGTGGCAGTGGGGGTAGGGGGAGGAGAGTGTCATGAAGTCTCCATTGTCTATTGACAACCTCATATTGCACTGGTGAGACACTTGGAAAGCGTATTGTTAATGCTGGGATTGTAAAGGAGGAGGTCACAGAGACCAGGTCTGGCTTTGGCCTAGGGACAAGGCTCAACATTGCCTGCAGGAAGCCTGTATTTGATGCAAAGTTCTTGTCATTTGTTCGTAAGCTGGGAATGTGGTGAAGAGAGGAACTGGAAGGCTTGTAGCCAGTTAAGGATTGGCACTGGCTAATGTCTGCAGGGAATCCCCTCTAGCCTTCACCAGACAGAAGAGGGGTGGTTACAAGATCTTGAAAAGCAGCAGGGGGAGCCCCAATGGATTTGCAAGACCCCCAGCAGGTGTGAGGAGAGAAGCTCCCTTTCCCACAGCAACAATATGATCCATAGCTAAGACTACGATTTAGTCACGGAGGTCACGGCAGTCACGAATTCCGTGACTTTACTGGACATCCGTGACTTCTAGGGCTTCAGGAGGAGAAGGCAGGACTGTGCGTCCCTGCCCCGCAACTGGGGCTGGCTGGAATCAGGACCCTGCAGCTCCAGCACCGCGGTGTCCCAGGCTTGGCGGGGGCCGCGCGCTCCAGCCCTGTGGCGTCCCAGGCTTGGTGGGGCTGCAGCCGGGGCCATGTGCCCCAGCCCCACAGCTTTTGCCAGGGGCTGCAGCTGGGGCTGCGCGCCCTCCTTGCAGCTTCCCAGGGCTGTGTGCCCCTCTGTGGCTGGGGCTTGCTGGGGGCTGCACTCCCCTGTCACGCAGCTGGGCCAGCTCTGGAGTAGGGGCTGTGTGCCCCCTGTGGCTGCGCCCCCTGCTGCGGCCACTGGAGTCAGGGCTGTGCCCCCCACCGTCGCGGGGGCTCGGCCTCTCAGTCCCCCCCATGGGACTCCATTCCTCCCCCCTACCTAGCCCTGCCCCCGGTTATTTGTAGTAAAGTAACGGACAAGTCACGAGCTCTGTGAATTTTTGTCATGGCCGGTGACCTGTTAGTGACTTTCACTAAAAATAACTGTGAAAAAATCTTAGCCGCATCCATAGCATATGATGTTTCCAACAGGCAGCTGGTCCCATGGAGTGAAGAAGACATTGGAGGCGGAGAGAAAGGACTGTTTCTTTCTCTCCTACTCGAAAGGAAAAAAAATGCACCACTAAATGAAAGTCCTGAGCCAAAGTCTCCTCCATTAAAGTGATGTGACCCCATGGAAAATCAGTGGGCTTGCACCAGTCTTTTAAAGAGGAGAATTTGGCTCCCTAGTTTTAATTTTTCGTTGCAGTTTATTCCCCAGGGAAGGCGGGATATGATAGAGGAAGTGTTAGTTACCTGTCTCCATAATACAAGAACCAGGGGCTACCCAATGAAATTAATAGGCAACAGGTTTAAAACAAACATAAAAAAGTACTTTGTCACACAACACGCAGTCAACCTGTGGAAGTTGTTGCTAGGGGATGTTGTGGAGGCCAAAAGTATAACTTGGTTCAAAAAAGAATGAGTGAAGTTCATGGAGGATAGGTCCATCAGTGGCCAAGATGGTCAGAGATGCCACCCCGTGTTCTGCGTGTCCCTAAACCTCTGCCTGCCAGAAGCTGGGACTGGACAACAGGGGATGGATCACTGGATAATTGCCCTGTTCTGTTCATTCCCTCTGAAGAATCTGTCACCGGCCACTGTCAGAAAACAGGATACTGGGCTAGATGGACCATTAGTCTACCCAGAATAGCCATTCTTATGTTCTTAAGGAGGCCAGCTCACATATTTGAACTCATACAGAGCAAGTGGCTTAGCCCAGGCCTGAAGTAACACCTTCTTTTAATCCCAGTCCTTCGCTACAGCCACTGGACAGCATGGCCTGTCTTTCTGCCCCACTTACACATCGTTATTACTGATTTTCTTGCTTTTTGTCTGATGTACAGTAGCGTGCGCCTGCTTATTTCTTTTGGTATTGCACTGGGAATAGTGCAGTTTCTGGAATTGCACTGGGTGAAACAAATGTTGGCGTATTATCTTTGCGAAACATTTAGATGCCATGCCTGCCCTGTGATCCTACTTAGTCCTTCTTGATGACTCACATGAACACTGTGTATTGTGGCTGATGTGTGCATTCCTCTATGGCTACAGTAATTGTGTTGTCACAAATTTCACAATAAAGCCCAATTCAGGTATCGCCGACTACATTCGTTCCACACATTCAGCACTAAATGTTTCATTGTGCAACCACTTCTGTCCTTTCCCGTTCTGTTTGATTAACCTTTTCTGTCTTTTCCCCCACCCCAGCCCTGCAAAACTCTCCCATTCTGGAAGACACCCAATTAACTGCAGTGTGATCTCTGCCCTCCTCCACCCACTCCCCTTTCCCTCCCTGTGCTTTGCAGCCCATCCCAGACACCAGCCCCATGAAGCGCTCCATCTCCACGCTGACGCCGCAGCGCCCGCATGCCATGCACCTGTACGAGTATTCCCTGGAGCGCATGCCCCCAGACCAGGCTCATCACCACCATCACCATCGCTGCCATCGACGGAGAGACAAGAAGCAGAAGTCGTTGGACAGGTCACCCAACCAGCTGGCCGATGGGGATGCCGGTAAAGGCTTTTCCACATTGTTGTGTCTCGTTCAGACCACAGAACTGTGATGATTGTTCCTCCCAAACCGCTGTTTTTCATGCGTCAGGATGAGGGGATGGGGACTTGGGAGGGAGCATGATGCCCCAGGCCTTTCCCCATGGATGACAATACCCCCAAGGGGGGGCCTTTATGGCTGTTTCCTCCCACTATGAGCAATGGTGCCCAGCAGGGAGGCTTACACTACGGGTGTGGGGGGGGGGCAGTTCCATTTGAGAGGATCCACATGGGACCCCCAGAGTCCTTGAACTTGCTCGGCCCCGAGCTGAATGTTTCTATGGTTATTGCAGCCCCAACCCATTACTTTATTTTGGTGGCACATTCAGGTGAGGCGTCTTCCAAGGATAAGAAGCAAGAACGAGGCAGGTCCCAAGAGAGAAAGCTGCACTCCTCCTCTTCCTCCGAAAAACAGCGCTTCTACTCCTGCGACCGCTACGGGAGCCGGGACCGTTCTCAGCCCAAATCAGCTGATCACAGCAGGCCCACCTCGCCCAATGGGGGGCTGGAGCCAGGCCCCCACAGACAGGTGAGGAGATTCAAGGCGGGAGGAGGCGTGAAATCTTCAACAGGTGCACCCAGGTTTAAAAAAAAAATCAGGGTTGGGGACGGGTTGGGCAATAGGAGATGGAGCCTGGTTCAGATCCAGGCTGGGTGACTGAGGGTTGTTGCCATCGGATGGCTCTTTGGAGGCCTTCTGCAAAATGAATTGATGGTCTCAGCCCAGTTCCTACAGAACAGGGGTCCATACCTCAGAATCCACCCTCCCAGTCGGCACCCTTGTTGGCAGTGTCAGGAGAGAGGCCAAGGACTAAGTGGGGCCTGCAGACTGAACTACCTTCTCACTTCTCCTGGGGAAATTGTCCCATGAGGTCTAAGCCCAGGCAGGCTGGCAGGGCAGAATGGGAAGGTTGCACTGCTGATTTTTGCGCTGTCTCTCTCCAGGAGATAGAGATATTAACCCAGCGCCTATTGCCGCACTTTGCATAGAGCACTCGTGGGCGTTATACAGAAATGGAGTTGTACTAACCACATAAATCCAGACCACCAGAATACAAGAAAGTACAGTCCAGTGCAGAGAGAGGGAACCCAGAGAACTAAATCCTGCCCTCAGTTACACCCCTGCAACCACTGACTTCAGCAGGGGCGACTGAGGGCAGAAGATGGCCTCCAGCATGGTCCTGTCTTTGCAGCTGGCAAACTTCATGGAATGGGGCATTTTCAGCAGCATTCTGAAACAGGAGCTAGGATGGGCGCCTTCCCCCCGTGCTAAATCCACCCACAAACACATCAACTCTACAGGAGCCGGGAACCAGCTAACGTAATGTAGGGAAAAAGTAGAACTTGGATGGAAGTTGAGGGTGCTCCGCACCTTGCCAGACTGAGCCCTAAGTGGGTCTCAAAACACTGTCTAGCGCTAGTTCTAGGGCGGAGAGAGTTGTGACCGCACTTAAAAATCTGCCTAGAGCTGCAGTCTGAGTGTGACTGACAGGCCGTCTCAGGAGGGCTGACTGGTACTGTCATCTGAACAGACACACATCCCCGCAGCAGCGTCACTTGATAAATGGATAGCTCCGAGGGAAGGAAAGCCGGCTGCATTTGCTGTGTGGGTTAGAGCCCATGGGATAAAAGGAAGGAAGGTTGAAAAAGAAGTAGAGTCTTTATAATAACTAGTGCCACCCCCAAGATAACAGATCTTTCCACCTCTTCGCCTTGTTCTGTGCATTATTCCTCTCTCCGGGTGCATTGTACTTTCATGATTCCTAGCAGCAAAACAGGTTATAGTCTCGGAGTCTGGGTGTGGACGGTAACTGAATGCTTAATGCCTCATTAGTCCCCAACGCATTGCTTTGCAACACACACTGGCGTACTTCAGGTATAGAATACACTCTGTAAAATCATCCACAACTTGGTCTATTGGCTAAGACCAAGTGTCACAGGGAGCTCCTCAGGCTCCCCCGGGAGTGCAGTGCTACCCAGCCTGTTTTCGTGGTCTCTGAGTCACCACCACCCACAGTCTGTTTCTTTTTTACCTATGTTCCTTTAATCCTCAGTTTCCCAACGCGGCAGGACGTAGCATAGGTACACAGCACACCCTCTGAACTCCTTCCCCTTTACATCCTGCTCCTCCCAAATATGTATCCTCCCCTTTGCTAAGCCAATTACCTCATTAGCTCAGCAATTGCCACCAAGTGGCAGTAATCCCCCTTCCACCACCACCCCTACCCCTCCCAAGTAACAAGTTGCTTGATTCCAGTTAAGCCAACAGCCTTCTCTGTGCTGTAGAAACCTCAGTGACCGGGGTGCTACAGCTAGTCATGCCATGGGAGATATCTGTTTGGTGTCTGACACATTCAGGCCCTGCCCAGGCACAGGGATGGATTCAGTGATCAAACAAGTCTTTTCTATCTCCAGCTACTACGAGCCTTAAATGTATCCTATTTCATACTCAGCTGCTCTGCAGATGAATTTTCTTTCTGATCCTGCTGTTCCTCCGCTCCTTGAGAGAAGGGAAGAAGATGATTACTTCTGTTATTGTTAGTGGGGTTGCTGGACCTCTCCTCTTCTATGTGTATATACTAGAGCATTAAATGCAATGCACATTTTAATTATAAACAAAAAGGTTCCCTGAAGTTAATAATCGTTCAGTGTTGAAGCTCCAATGACACCTTATTACCCTGTCCCCACTACTCCGTTGAGTTTTAGTTTGCCCCGTGTGTCTCTTTAAAAACAAATGCCTGAGTTGATTCAGGAAGGACGGACGAAGAATGTCATTCCAGTGTCCATGTATGTTCTCCATACAGGATAGCATTAAAAAGGCCCCCCAAGCGATGCATGTCAATTGACTCACACGGACCTGTTAGTATGTCCCTTTGGTCACGCTGGAACACATGGATTTTTTTAAAATAAACAGTGCAGTCAGTGTAGAGTTTTCACCCTAATGAGCTGCGGATGTTTGCCCCGATGAGGGGCCTGTGAGAAGCTCGGTTGGGCTGGTTTCTGCATTGTTGTAACCTGCCTATTAACGCTCAAGGGTCGCCGTCATCTTCTATTTGTTAGCTCTTCCCTTCCCTTGGGGACACCACCTTTAACCAGGAGCCATGCCTGGCTTAGCAGATTTTGCCAGGCCTGGGAAGCATTTTGCCTATACACCTCAAAAAGTATCTGATTTCTGGCCCTCCCTGCTTCAAAATAAATAAATAAATCAGCTAACTCCTATCTCCCCACCGCCCCCCCACTCAGCATCAATGGAATGAACAACACAATCTCTGTTTGCCTAAGTCTGCTAGTTTGAAGGGACTGTCTCTGTGTCACTTGAGCAGCACACAGTATTTGTCCTGATGTCTGCCAGCTCCAGCAGACTGGGTCCCAGAAGCCACCGCTGCCTGGCGGAGGTGGTGGTGAAGACTATAATTTGGCATCTCAGGAACCATTCTGCCTCCCCTGCCCTCTGTGGCAAGAGAGAACAACTTTTCTCTATCGTTTTTATGGCAGCCTTTCAAGTATTTGAGGACCGCTATCATGTCCCCTCTTAATCTCCTCTTTTCCAAACTAAACATACCCAGTTCCTTCAGCCTTTGTTTATATGACTTGCATTCCATCCCTAGATCATCTTTGTCGCTCGCCTCTGGATCCTTTCCAGTTTGTCCACATCCTTTCTATACGTTAGTGACCCAAACTGGATACTGTACTCCAGCTGAGGCCTAACCAGTGCGAGTAGAGTGATACTATCACCTCCCGTGACTTGCATGCTGTGCCTCCGTTAATGCAACCTAAAATTGCATTTGCTTCTTTTGCAACAGCATTGCATTGCTGACTCATGTTGAGGTTGCGATCCACCACAACTCTCAGATTCTTCTCAGCAGTGCTGTCCCCAAGCCAGTTATCCCCCATTCTGTACTTGGGCATTTGGTTTTTCTTCCCTAAGTGTAGCACCTTACATTTGTCTTTGTTGAATTTTGTTGTCTGTAGCCCAGTTCTCCAATTTATCAAGATCCCTCTGAATTTTAGCTCTATCCTCCAAAGTGTTGGCAGCCCTCCCCAGCTTTGTGTCATCTGCACATTTGATCAGTACACTCTCTATTCCTACATCCAGATAATTAACAAAGATGTTAAACAACACCCGGCCCAGAACAAATCCCCATGGAACCCCACTTGGGACCTCCCTCCAATCTGACACCATTCCATTAACAGTTACTTTTTGTTTGTGGTTGTTTAACCAATGATGTATCCACTTAATGGTAGTTTCGCCAAGCCCGCATTTCTCCAGCTTACTTATCAGAATGTCATGTGGGACTGTGTCAAAAGCCTTGCTGAAATCCAGGTATATTATGTCCACTGCATTCCCCCTATCCACCAAATCAGTTACCCTGTCAAAGAAGGAAATGAAGCTGGTTTGGCATGATTTGTTCTTAGGAAATCCATGTTGGCTGCTAGTGATCACCCCTCCATCCTCCAGGTATTGGCAAATCGAAGGTTTTATACATTGCTCTAGTGCTTTCCAGGTATCAAAGTCAGGCTGACTGGTCTATAGTTCCCCCGCTCCTCCTTTCCCTCCTTTTTAAAGATGGGCACTATGTTAGCCCTTTTCCAGTCTTCCAGGACCTCCCCTGTCATCCAAGAGTTTGTAAATATTATTGCCAGTGGGTGGCTCTGAGATTTCTTCAGCTAATTCCTTCAGCACCCTGGGGTGAAGAGCATCAGGCCCTGCTGATTTGAATTCATTAAAATTGGTCAGAAGATCTCTGATGTGTTCTTTACTTATCCTGATCTGCATCCCTTTCCCTTTAGTGTCTATGGTAACTTCGCTATATATAAGACGAAGGCCGCTATCTTCCACTACCACTCAATCCACCTACAAAAACATAATGGAAAAAATGTATATGGCAGAATACGAACTGGAATGACCTGATGAAGCTCTTATATATTTAAAGGGCGCTGTCAGGTCGTTTCAACCAAACAAGAAATAAATGTTTGTAAAAATACTTCAGAAAATTCATATTCTTCCATGTGACACCGCAAACAAACACCAACACAAGGGCCTGATTCTCCTCTTGCTTCCACCAATTTTACATCAGCGTAACTCTGTTGATTTCTACAAAGTGACTCACAGTCTATAAGAACATAATTTCACCAACAGTGTGAAACTGACCTGTCTACTCTGCCATCCAGCGTGAGACCCAAAAAGTAAACGCACAGCATAAATAGTGAAAAGTAAATAGATTTTTAAGAGTTCTCTTTAATGATCCCAGGTGTTTTAGAGTCAAGCTGGTCAAAACATTTTCATCTTTTTTGTGTGTGTGTGTGTGTGATGAAAAATGGCTTTTTTAATTCAACAGACATTTTCATTGCACAACCAAAATTCCAAAATATTTTCAGTTTTCAACAAAAAAATCAAAAAATGGACAATGTTCAGGTGTCAAAAACCTGAAAAAGACTGCAAAATGTTAAAAAAAATATGAAAGAGTGTAGGGTTTTTTTTTTTCCAATTTGTTTTGTGGAAAATAATAAACATTTTCCTACTGGCTCCATTGGATATCTCAGGTAAGGAGCTGGGAAAGAATATGATTGGTGTGTATGCCTTTTCTCTGGGCAGTGTCCCTTTCTGTTGGAGCCGTCTGCTGGTTTGCGTCCTACTAACGCTCTGATTGTTTCTGTTCTGATTTATCGCTCACGGCACTTTTCCAGCTCTTTACATCTCTGTTTTAATTGCTTCTCTATAACCTCCTTCCCCTGACTGTGCTTGTCTAAACTCTCTCTTTTTCGTTTTTTCTCTCCTCTTGTGATTTGTCTCTCCCTCCTGTCGCTTGTCCTTCTGTTTTTTACCCGCGTGCCTTTGTGTCTGTCTGGTGTTTCCTTTTTTATTTTTGATTTGCTGTGTTCCAATTTTCATGTAGGGTAGTGGTTCAGTTAATGGGAGCCCCTTGCTGTCGACATCTGGTGCTAGCACCCCGTGCCGCGGGCGGAGGCAGCTCCCGCAGACTCCGCTGACCCCCCGCCCCAGCATCACTTACAAGACCGCCAACTCCTCACCCGTGCACTTCACCAGTTTCCAAACCAGCCTGCCTGCTTTCTCCCCGGGGCGCCTGAGCCGAGGTTTGTCTGAGCATAATGCGTTACTGCATGGGGACTCTCAGAGCCACTCACGCTCCCCGGTGGCCCGCATTGGTTCCGACCCCTACCTTGGACACCGCGACGACAGTGACAGCCCGTACCGTGTCGTGCCCGAGGACACGCTCACCTTCGAGGAGGCTGTCGCCACCAATTCAGGAAGGTCCTCAAGGACTTCTTACGTCTCGTCCTTGACTTCCCAGTCTCACCAAATCCGCAGGGTTCCCAACGGCTACCACTACACGTTGGGCCTCAGCACGGGCCCTGGGACATGCGCCAGAACCCGTAGCTATTACCACGAAGCCGATGAGGACGACTGGTGCTAGCATAAAGGCAAAGCCCTTGCCGGTGTACGCGTTTGGAATCGATGAGTTTTATCATCTGGATGGCTGTGTGCTCAGACACACATGGTGACCGGGGTCACGGGGGGGAAGAAACAGCCGCTGGCGAGAACTGCTCCAAACCCGACGCCATCCGAGACGCTCGTTCAGCCTCTGTCTTTTCTTTCTTTCTTCTTTTTTTTCCCTCCTTTTGCACTAGACTAAATAAATAAATAAATAATTGAAGATCATTATGGTGGAGGGAGTGCTTTCTCTCTCTCTCTCTCTCTCGCTCTCACCTGCCTACTGCCTTGTCTAGTTAAATGACATATATCAGATGCCAAATCTGCAATGTATGCACAGAGCTGTGGGAAGGTCTGAACTTTGACAGCAGAAAAAGGACTGTCGATCCATAGTTTTTGTTGGGTGGTTGTTTGTTTTTGTTTTAGTTTTCCGGTCAGAGCGGGTGTCGGGGCTGGAAATGGACACTCTTGTACACAATCGAACTTGTATTTTATCTCATTCAAACATTAAGAGAAAGAGATCTGCCTAACGCACTGGGAAAGGAGAAACCCAAATCAGAACGGGGGACTGTCCTTTGACTCAGTGTTCAACAACAGCAATCGTTTTCAATGGAGCCAGTAACAAACCTTCGAGCTGATAAAGCACTGTGTCGCCGTGACTCTCTGCTTCGACACGCTGCGCTGGGGATTTTTCTTTTCTTTGTCCACGTCGAGTCCTTCACACTGACACCCGATAAAGCTACTTTGTAAGGACGGTTTCCTTGCTGCTGGGACTTTTGTTTCTGTCCCCCCCATCTCCTGTCAACTGCAACATGCCCTCAATGTTTTGTCTTGTTTACAATATAAGCTTGATTTAGCAACAAACAAACAAAAAAAGAAGAAAAAAAAAAAAGAAAAGAAAAAAAAGCGGGTGGTGGAAAGGAGAAAAGGAATTGGTTTTATATCAAGCTATTAGATAGAACTTTAACTTTTCATTGTGTGCATTTTTGTAAATTGTACAGTAAAAAAGAAAAAGAAAAGAAAAAAAAAAAACCTTTATGTAGAGAATTAGTCCAATTGTCATTCCAGGTCCCACTGTTTCTATTGAATGCTCCAGTTGTTCACTACTAAGTGCCTAGCCTTTGAAATCTCTCACAGCGATGATGCTCCCTCTTGCTTCAACGCATCAGAACTTGAGAAAGTGTGGGGGGTGGGAAGGGAGAGGAAGAGCCTGTAAGATCTGTTTGTCTCAGATATCTACTGTGCATACAATGCCACGTGTATGTGTTCTGAACAGTGTTTTCAAGTAGCCAGGTTGGAAACTTCAAAGGGGAGGGTAAAAATATTTTTTAAATAATTTTGTTGAGGAGCGGGAGAAGAATGATCAGGGCAAACAAAATCGGCCTTTTCTCGTTGAATAGAATTTAGGATCCTGCAGGAGAAATGCAGGTAGAAGTACAGCATCGGCAGCAATGCTTTTACAGGAAAAAAAAAAAAAAGAGAGAGACTTTCACATTGCATGTCTAGTCTTAACTTGGTTGTGAAAGCTCTGGCAACGTTTCATGGTGCGTAGTTCGTGTCGAGGGCAGTTGGAGAGAGCCTTGTTATTATTGCCTGTTGAAAAAAAAAATCCGACTCTCAGGGATGAGATTTCTGTATTTTTATGTTGGATCATTTCCTTTTTGTGCGTGAGTGCGGATTTCTGCGTTTGGAGTCTGGGGAGAAGACAATGACAAGAAGGGGGGGAAAGGGTTAAAGAAAAAGATTGGCAGACCTTCCATTGATGGGCTGGAAGAACCGCTGTGTGGCCACTGTTGGACGTGCTGCGGCCAGGGGTTTGGCATGGCGCTTTGAGAGAAGAGTGAGGGAGAAGAATGAGGAGAAGAAAAACCCAGCAAGGCCAAACAACAAAAGAGGCGTTGGTCAGAACGTTGGCAAGCAGTAGGCCTGAGATAGTGACCAAGCCATGGGACACTAAGACTGTAGAATGAGTGGGTACTTGGGAGGAGCAAGTTTGGGCCCAGTTTCGTTTTGTAGCTAGGTTAGCAGGGGTATCACACGTTTCAGAAAATGGCTCGGAAGGCATCTGCCACTATCGGCAAAGTCTCCGAAGGGGAGCGGGACAGGTGTCGTGTGGTCGTCCACATCTCCTCTAACCTTTATGTTGAGAAAAATTGAACCTTGTTTTGTTTTAGGAGCTTTGGCCAATCTCATCCCTGGATTCTGCTAAAAGATAACCAACTCATCTCTATTATATCTCTATATATCTGTGCACTTTGAGGAAAGGAAGTGCTTTAGCCGAGAGGTACATTATGGATAACGGATGTAATTTTTAATTGTAGGGCTATGCAACAAGATGACACTTAAGGAAACAAATCAAAACAAAACAAACAAAAAGACCTTCATCCATTCTGTAGCTTTACCTGCTGGATTTTCCTGTTTCAGGCTTCAGCATGATTGTGACCAAATGTTTTATACATTTTCCTTGTATGAAGGCACAAACACTTTCTTTGAAATTTTAAAGAAAACATTACTATTTTACTCCAAGAAGTAAAGGAGGAAAAAAACCAGTATGGCTGATAGTGCATGCAACCATTGTACCCACATTGGAAAGTGAAAGGAAATGTTCTCTCTGTATTAATTTATTTTGTCTTTTCCTCCACCCCTGCCTTTCCCCTTCCTACATCATTTTAGATATTAAAAGCCACAATCTCATATAAATAAGATGGCTGGAATCTCACAGAAATAGATGGCATTGGATCATTTAAATTCTTATATAGTATAGACCACAAAGAAGAACATTGTTGATGACTTCCCAGTCTTCTCTCGGGGGGTTTCTCCAAATGACAATGACAGAAGAGCCTGACCACTGTTGTTCATAACCCCGTTTGCATATCTTTTACAGCCTGTGCGCTGTCTCTTAAACACACACATAATATTTCCCAGAATTCTCATAGTGAGTTGCCAAACTTGAATTGCACCAACCAGTTTTCTGCATCCAGAACCAGTCTCGTAGTGGCTGTACTTTGAATAAGTAATGTTTGCATGTAAAATATATACATATATATATATAAAGTATGTGCATGGAAAATGTTTATCTTCGTACTTTTTTGATACAATGTATTCATCAGTTGTTAATTTTTAATTATATTTGATATAAATTGGGGGTTTGTTGCAAAACTTTATATTTAAAAAACAGTGTTAAAAATGATAAACGTTCCAACCATGCAACACAACTGGAACTTTACAAAAAAAAAAAAAAAAAGGTTCTGTGATTGCCTAGTTTGCTGCCTGAGTAATATTTATCAGCCAAACTTTGAATTCTGCAGTTGTTTCTACAATTACATTTTGTATGAAGCAAAGTCCTTGAATTAAAATAAAAACTTAGCAAAAAACGTACAGCTCCACAGGTGGTGTGTGCAGTGTGCATAATGAATGGGAGAGCAGCACCCCGAAAGCATTGCTCATTCTAATGATCTCGCTAGGGAAGAGTCGTTATTATGAAATTTGCCTTTTCAATATGAGGAGTCCAAAATGCCATTGGTGGGATTTCATATGGAGCAAGATTGCCTGAACCAATGGCTGGAAGTTGAAGCCAGACAAATTCAGACTGCAAATAAGGCACAAACTGATAACAGTGAGAGTAATTAACCATTAGAACAATGTACCAAGTGTTGTGGTGGATTTTCCATCACTGACTAGTTTTAAATCAAGACTGGATGTTTTTCTAAGAGATCTGCTCTAGGGATTATTTTGGGGCAGTTCTCTGACTGGATGATCACAATGGTCCCTTCTGGGTTTGGAATCTGTGCATTGCCTGGATTGAATGCCATAAGTAATTGATCCTCTCTTTGGTTGCGTTCCCCTGCAGATGCTCATTTTTAGAGGAGCTGTTTGTGAATTTGCCTAATTGTACTAAGGTTACAATTCTTGGAGTCCAATGTGTAGCAAAATTTCATAAGCCAGGCTGAATGCTGTAAGAAATTGATCGAATCTTTAGTTGTTCCCTGCAGATTGACAGACGCACATTTTTACACATGCATGTTACTCTCACGGAGGTGGAGCAGTGTTAGGCATTAACCCCTTAACTGCCGTGCTGAATCCTCTGCCTCCCACAGCCAGCAACAGTCTCCAGTGATACTATTTCAAGTATACATTCCCATTGAAATCAAACAGAGCTTCAAGACACAGGAGGTCTGTTTGGCAGTGTAAGAGGTTTACGTCACCTGCCTAATACACAGAGGTAACATGTCACACTTGTAAAACAGTTAATGAGAGCCGCTTGCATTTCCCTGGAGCTCGGACCTCATATTTAAGCAGAAGAAAAATCCAAGGAATGTTTGTAAATATAAGTGAACATCCGCAACTCGCTTCTTTTGGCCACCAGACAAACTTCCTCCCCCACCACCAGAGAAATTGCCGAACGCTCCCAGAGCAGGATCAGACATTGTGCTCTTTCTGACAAGTCAAAAAGCAATAAGTCACTTGCGCTTATTCCCAGCATTGCAGAAACATTACACCTGAAAAGAATGGCAGAAAGGAGAATCGCTTGCATTTTTCAGTATTCTCTGGAGATCCAGATTTAGGCTTTTTAGGATTCATTCCATCTCTCCTCCCTCACTGCCCACCTATTGTTGTTTATTATGGATACTGGTAGCACCTTGAACCACCGAATGAGACCAGCACTTTGTGCTAGATGCTGTACATATATAGTAATAAATAGTCCCTGCTCCCAAAATCTTATGATCTCCATTGTTAAGACTGACAGCGGAGTGGGAGGAGAAATTATTTGGTCAAGGTCCTGGAGCAAGTCAATGGGAGGAACAGAACCACATCTCTTGGCTGCTGGCCTGAACCATTTGGCCTCTCGTTAGCAGTCCCAAATGTACAGGCTTTGGGGACAAGGAGATCTTTGTTGTTCCAAACATGGTCAGAAGGGAGGGCTTCCCTCTGATCAATGCGTCTGATCAGGAAGAAGGGGAAGATTTACTCGCTAGCCCATTCCAACAGTTGGGAGTCAATCTGTGCCCACTGCTCTTCCTACCTTTAAGGAAAAGTTCTGTAGAATTTAATACACAAATAACTTTTCTACAGGCTTTGACTCATCCTATAGAACTTATTCCATAAATCAGATCCCTACTATAGAAATCTGTATGCCCTATGGTTTAAGAGGAATTTCTACAGAACGGTATTGGCTTCATC